TAAAGCGATGCACGAAGAGAAAACCCGCACCGCAAAAGGAGGTTGTGATTGGCTAAGAGAGGGGACAGCTGGCAGGGTTGTGATGGTCGGCGACGAGGGCTGGGGGAGTATGGCTCAACCCCACACGAGCAAGGACGAGCGCGAGAACTCAGGGAAGGAGGGAGGGAGAAGAGAGGATGAGAGAGAGAGAGAGAGGAGAAGAGGGAAGGAGGGAGGGAGAGAGGAAGACGGAGGGAGAGAAGGAGAATGGAGGAGGGAAGAGACGAGAGAAAGAGATAAGGGGATTAAGAACGGAAAGGAGCGATGGGAGGAGGGAAGAAGAGAGAAGAGGAAGTGAGGAGGAGCAAGAAGGCAGAAAGAAAGAGATGAATAAAAGAATGTGAGAGGAGATAAGGAAGAAAGGGAGGGAGAGAAGTAGAGAGGAGGAGGGGAAGATGGCAGAGGACAAGAGGGAGTAAGGGAGAGAGGAAATGAAGGGAGAGAAGAGAGATGGGGAGGAAGGAAGGAAGCGAAGAAGGAACAGAAGGGTGGAGACAGAGGGAGGGGAAGTGAGGAATTAGATAGAAGGGGGGAAGAGGATAGAGAGAAGGAGAAGAATGAAAGGAATGTGAGAGGGAGATAAGGAGGAAAGGGAGTTGGAGGGACGGAGGTAAGCGTGGGAGGGTGGTAGGAAGGGAAGAGGGGCGGAGTAGTAAGGGAGGAGTGTGGGAGAGGACGAAGGAGGGCTTGGGTAAAGGAGGGCGCGGAGGGGACGAGGAACCAAATGTGAAGGGATGAACTTTGACCGTGAGAACTTGACGGATGCAGTTGTCAATTTTTTCCGCTTGTTTCTTTTTCTTTCTCTCTTTGCTCTGCTTCTACGTTCCAACCTTCCTTTAGATAATGCTTATTCTTTCTTATAACTTCCTGATTTTGGCCAATTTCACTTTCACCTCGCGTATCATTCGATCTCTCTTTCTCTTGTTTCTTTGTCCGAATATCTAGCGACAAATTAATGAAAAAAATGTAAACTCAAAGATTGCATTTCCAAAGCAGGCGAGTCCACTAAACCCCGGTGAAGGTGGTGGTTAACGGGATCCAATCGGGGACTCAAACCGACACAAGGGACCGGAACATGTTGCGGGAGGCAAATTGCAAGAAATAATCCTAGGAAACACCAGTCACGTGCCCGTGGAATGGCTGTGCGGGCATTCAGCGGGTCCACCTCGAGAGACGTCCTGCGCCGCGGAATGTCCCGAAGTCGTGATTGCAATCAGGCGGTTTGAGGGAAGACACCTTGCCTGCGTGAAAAGCTGGCGAAAAGAAGCTATGAGAAAGTCTCAGTATAGGAGAAAGAATGAGAAGAATGGTGGAAGGGAATAAAGAAAAACAGATATTCCGGCTTAAAATTCTCCAGGTAATAGTCAGCAGCAAGAAAACAAAGGTCATAGGTGTCAGGCGAATTCAAACACCAACCACACACAGGTATATATATACATTAACATTATATATAATATATATATATATATATATATATCTATATATATATATATATATTATATATATATATACGAATATATATAATATAATATACAAAACACCACACACACACACACACAAATACACTTGCAACGAGGGAAGCGGAATCTAATACCGTCTCATCTCCAGTGCTCAAACCAAACAAAAGAAAGGCCTAATGTATTTATTTGTCTGTTCGTGCCCTCTCTAGCAAGGAACATGAAGGCGTCGTCTTTAAAAACGTATGCCAAATATAGATGTTCATCTCAAGCCGTGGATACCAAGGAGCTCTCTCTCTCACTCTCTCTCTCCTCTCTCTCTCTCTCTCTCTCTCTCTCTCCTCTCTATAGTTATATATAGATATTATATATATGATAGATATTATATATGTGTGTGTAATGGTGTGTGTGTGTGTGTGTGTGGATGTGTGTGTGTGTGTGTGTGTGGGTGTGTATAGACACACACACACACAAAAATCAGATATGTATAGAGGTATATATATATATTTAGAGAGAGATTAGAATCTAGTATATAGAATATATATATATATATGTAGATAGAGTATAGGTATATATAGATGTAAAATAAATATCTATATTATAGAATCTATAATATAGATATATATATATATTATATATTATAGAGAATATATATATATTTATAGACATATAAATATATATATATATCTAATATATAGATATATATATATATATACATAATATATATATGGATATAATAGATATATCATTTATATATGTGTGTGTAACACATACACACACAACACACCCACACACGTATATATATATATATATATATAATTATATATATCTATAATATTTAGAATTATATATATATTTATATATATATATATATACACACACACAACAACCCAAACACACACACACACACCACAACACACACACACACATATCTATATATATATATATATATATTATAAATATATATAGTGTGGTGTGTGTGTGTGTGTGTGTGTGTGTGTGTG